GCCAAAGAGGGTCCTGGGGGTCTGTGCAGGGAGAGGCAAAGCAGGGGCCGCTGTGATTCAGCCTCTCCTGGGCTGACCTGGTTGAGGCCGTGGGAGGTGCAGAGGAGGTGGCAACGGAAGGCACAGGCGCACAGTCACAACTCCAGACCAAGCCCTGGCGGGGGTGGGTGCCAAAGAAGCTGCTGGTGGTGCTGGAAATTAAGGGGGGGCGGTGTCAGGGAGGGCTCTCGAGTAGTGGGGGAGCAATATGAGCCCAGTGACCCAGACTGGAAGAGCAGGGGGAGGGGGAGCAGGAGTCTGTGCCAATCCAAAATGAGGGCACCAAGGTGATGGACTGAGGCGCCAATGCCCTCCTTGCAGACCCCAGGAAAGGAGATGCTCCGTAGCTCCTGGGCGAGGGGCTCCCTCGGCATGCTGTGATTGTGGCAAGAAAGGGCACCAGGCAGAGCTGGCCGGCCAGCCAGGAATTCACCTCGCCAGTCAGGGCGGCTGGGGGACCAGGTGCTTCTGCAGAATTGAGGGGTTCTTTCAGGCACAAGATGCCAGAACCACCCAGGAAGCATCTCAACAGGAGACCCTTTTATTGCTAGTCAGTTCTCTTAGAAGACTCTCACCAGACTGGCAGCATTTCCCTGATAAGATAAGATAAGATAAGATAAGATAACCTTTATTGTCATTTTTTTACTGTGGGCACAACGGCACACATCAAAAATGAAATTTAGTTGCCCGCTCTCAAAGTGAAACACATGACGCACTCCTAAACATACTATGAACAACATATGTACAGACCCACATCCCTACTTATACGTAGCAAATAAATATTGAACACTGTCCATCTTGATTATATAACGGAAGGAGGAAGCTTGAGAGTTCACAAGGTTAATGCTGTATGGAATGAAACTATGGCTGAATCTGGAAGGCTTCAGGTCTTCTGGAGAAGGTCAGGCATATACTGCTTTCGGCAGTGCAAGGACTCTACCCTTGTCCCCCCACCCCTCCTGGAGGGGTTTAAGAGGAGATTCCATCACAAGAAGGGAGGGAGGGAGGGAGGGAGGGAGGAAGAAAGGAAGGAAGGAAGGAAGGAAGCCACTTTCTGTAGTGCAAGAACTCTAAGCTTGCGCCCCCCCCCCCCAAATCTCCCTCCAGTCTGGCTGGAGATTCCACCACCAAGGATCTCCCCTGCATAAAAAGGGGAGTGAGGGGGGGTTTAATATGCAGCAGGGTTTCTCCACCAATGGGATTCCATGATCCCCCAAATGAATGTGTTTTCACTGGGATTAGGCCTAGGCAAGAAATAAATCACAAATTAAAAATAAATGTATCAGTGAAATAAAGCAAAGGCACAACTGTGAAGCTTTATATAAAACGGGGACACCTGTGACTTCCTCCACAGACACTCCAAAAATGAGCCACAGCATGGAGATTCTGGAAAGACGTCACTGCGGGTAATCCTTGACTTAATGACCACAATTGAGCTCAAAATTTCTGTGGCTAAGTAAGACATTTGTTGTGATTTTTACCCCATTTTACCTTTCTTGCCACACTTAAGTGAACCAGTGCAGTTGTTTAGTAACATGGTTGTTAAGTGAATCTGGCTTCCCCATTGCTTGTCAAAAGGTCACAAAAGGGGATCACGTGACCCCGGGATACAGCAATTGTCATAAATTTGAGTCAGCTGCCAAGCGTCTTTAAGTTTTGATCGTGTGACCGTGCTGATGCTGGAACAGTCCTAAGTGTGAAAAACGGTCATGTCACTTTTTTTCAGTGCCATTATAACTTCAAATGGTCATTAAATGAACTGCTGTAATTCAAGGACTACCTGTATTTTCAAGAGAAGCCAAACTCGGCTTCAGCGGTCAGTGTGACTGGACCACCTTATCTGATAATCGCTCATGATAGGGTCAAGTAGGGTCTGTCGTTTATATACTCTGTAGATATTACAATCCTGGACATTTCAGCCCCCTTCAAAACCTATGGGAAAAGCTCCCCAGCCCCCCACATGGTTGCTCTGAGTCCCCCTTGACTCAGTCCTCTTAAAGCCTGCATGGAGGCCCCCTTGCTGCACTCAAGTTTGGCGACCCACAGTCGCCACCCAACCACAACTCCAAACACACAAGGAAGAAGATGTTTTGAATTAAGGAGATGTGAAGGCCACCCTGGAAAAGTTGCACCTTGTCTGCAGTCTTCAGGGGCCAGCCAGGCTGGCAGCTGATGTTGCAGGAGGAGAGGGAGTCAGCAGAAGGCACCCTGGGTTGGCAGGGGGGCAGAAGTGGCTCTCCCACCCACCATGAGAGGACCAGCCTGGGCTGCTGGATTATGGCTTCAAGAAGTCTTCCAGCTGGCGCAATCCCCAGGCAGTTTGTGCTCCAGCTGATCTGGAGAGGGCTTTTTTTTGGGGGGGGGGGGAAATGTTACATTGTTTTGGGGAAACTTGGGGTTTAGCCTTCTGTGCAGGTACCCCTGTACTTTGGGAGATATTTCTTGATGAACTTGGAATACTGCATCCAGTTTTGGTCACCACGATGTAAAAAAGATGTTGAAACTCTAGAAAGAGTGCAGAGAAGAGCAACAAAGATGATTAGGGGACTGGAGGCTAAAACATATAAGGAACGGTTGCTGGAATTGGGTATGTCTAGTTTAACGAAGAGAAGGACGAGGGGGGGACATGATAGCAGTGTTCCAATATCTCAGGGGCTGCCCCAAAGAAGAGGGAGTCAAGCTATTTTCCAAAGTGCCTGAAGGCAGGACAAGAAGCAACAGATGGAAACTAATCAAGGAGAGAAGCAACCTAGAACTAAGGAGAAACTTCCTGATAGAACAATTAACCAGTGGAACAACCTGCCTCCAGAAGTGGTGAATGCTCCAACACTGGAAGTTTTTAAGAAGAGACTGGACAGCCATTTGTCTGAAATGGTATAGGGTTTCCTGCCTGAGCAGGGGGTTGGACTAGATGACCTCCAAGGTCCCTTCCAACTTTATTATTATAATAACTTTGCTGGCTTTGAAAGGCCTCAAACGCACCATTTCACATGGGCTTTTAATCACCATTTCATTTTAAAATGCTGACTCTTTTAATGAATGGTTGGATGGCCCTCTCACTCGAACATTCCTAGCTAAACTAATACATTTTCTGAGTTCACACAACCTGTCGAACCCGTCAAGGAGATTGGGCTCGTCCAATTCATGTGCATCCCAAAAAAGCATCACCAATCTTAAAAAAATCCGGAGTAGAAGCATGTGTGAGCCACCCAGTTTGGTGTCTGCTCTTAACAAACACCCAAAGGTGCTTTTTTCCAAAAGGTAACTGGACTTTCTTGTTTTTTTTCTTCGAAAATACTTAAAAGAGAACTGAAGAAGCTTCTTGGATGTGAAGTGAAACGTTTTCAAAGGAAAAACCCAACAAAAGTCCAGTTGCCTTTTGGAA